GTTCTAAGTTTTATTCCTTCAAGTAACGGCAATAGTACAGGGTGTCTACTAAAATAGGCTGATCAAAACTAAGTACTTTTACAGTACTTTTTCAGTATCTTATCAAGAAATTCAGTACCTTCTCCAACAGAAAAATGTCGAAGTTTTACAGTGCCTCCATTTGACGAAATTCGAAAAATTTCCAAAATTTGAAATTGCGACAAAAATGATAAAAAATTAAAAGAAATTTCGGACCTTTTTCCGGAATTTCCGCACTTTTTCAATACTTCCGGACCGCCCTTAAAAAGTCAGTAGTATTTCCGGACTTTCCGGAAATTACGGACTTGTAGACACCATGCAATAGTCTACGAAGTTAAAAATAAATTACCGCATTTATCGGTACTTTGAAATACTTTTTTTTCGGTCGGATCAACCAAATACTTGGTTTCCACATCAACATAACATTTTTCAAATTTCGAACGGCCGAACATTCTCAACTACGAGTTTTTATCGACTTAGGTCTTTTCCCTGAGCGAAAGGTTACGAATCGAATGCTAAAGTTCGAAACCACGTATCTCCATTGGCGACGTTGCAGACTTCCTGTAATGCTTCATTTTTCCTAGGAAAAAATATGTAACGTAGACTCTTGAAAAATTTATTGATTTTTCTTGTCCTTCCTTTGAATTTATACTCGATTTTTTAATTATCTTGATTTTATGTTGATTCTGTATTAAGTTCAAATTACGTTTTCTATGTAAAACCATTCAACGTGAGCTCTTGAATTTTTTTTTTTATTTTTCTTTTCCTTCCTTTGATACTATACTCGATTTGTTATTTCTCTTGAGTTTGTTGATCCTGTAAAGAATTACAAACTATGAAATTTGCTTGTTTTTCTTCGGAATGATAAAATATTTTAAACATGGCGATGAAGACATACGTGGTTTCGCACGTTAGCCATGCTGCCGGGCTAAGGAAAAACGCCGTATGAACCTTCAGGCGTTGCCAAATTTCCTTCCATAAACCACGAATTCCCTGGTAAATTTATGAATATTCTTCTTCCAATTTTTCAGAGAATTTTGTCCGTATTTCGATATAAAGTTCCTGAAAATTTCAAGGAAAAATATTCATAACCTTCCTCACAAATAAACATTTCATCAGAGGAAATTGGGCAACTCTCGAATGTTCATACGGCGTTCTTCCTTAGCATGGATATACACTGAAAATAAATTCTCGGCGTTTTTACGACGGTCCGTTGGTATCTTTACCATCTCACTTTTTTTTACCAATTATTGGTAATTTTACAAAGACAGACTGGTAAGCTTACCTAAAAACCGGTATTTTTACTGTTTTTTCAGGTAAGAATTCCACTTTTATTGGTAATCAATTCCCGGTAACTTTGCCATTTTATCTCGGTAATTCTACCACAGTCGATAAAAAATATTGGCGTATTTACCAAGGTCCAGTAAAATTACCAATTCCATAGATGGTAATTTTACCAAGAAAAAACTGGGATCAAATAGAACCCTGAATTCTTGGTAATTTTACCCTTTTCTTGGTAAAAACACCGAGATTTTTTTTTAACGAGGTCGTTCTACACCTTCCGCAACGGAGAAATACAGGGACCGCAAAGGTAGTGAATTCGGCAGCGGTCGCTGAACGAGGCTAGCGTTAACTACTCACAAGAACCCCCGAGGATTAATAAAGGTCTGGTCCTGGAGTCCTGGAGTCCGGGAGTTGGGGGAGGGAGGCAGAGTGGAAAAAGTTGGCCGGTCGTCGGGCCGGCCACTCAATCTTTCGGTAATTATACTTGGGGGAGCCGTGGCCCGTGGTTCGGCGACGGGATTTAGACTTATCGGGATAGTTCCCGCGCTCGTCGGGACGTGACGAACAGGGATTCGGGAGCCGAGACATCCCGAGAGGGTCGCACAGTGGACATATCGAAGGGAATTGAGGGTAATTTGTGTCGATTTCTCCTCTGAAAAAGGCCCAATGCCGATTCTTCCGTGCTAGGCGTGCTAAGGAAAAACGCCGTATGAACATTCGAGAGTTGCCAAATTTCCTTTAATGAAGAGTTCGTTTTTGAGGACCACTGGAAAAAAAACACATTGGATCTAGAGTCCAGACTCATGAAAACATTGACAAGAAAAAGGACTCTTGATTCAATCAGATTTAAGCTTAAATCAAAAGGAAATCCGCTCAAATCAAGAGGCTTGGTTCTTGATTTAAGCTTAAACCCGATTGAATCAAGAGTATTTTTTCTTGCCGATGTTTTTAAGAGTCTGGACTCTAGATCCAATGTGTTTTTTTTTTCCAGTGTGCCGGTTCTTCTGTGCTAGGCGTGCTAAGGAAAAACGCCGTATGAACATTCGAAAGTTGCCAAATTTCCATTAACAGGGTGTCTGGTATTTTTTAATTTTGAACAATCCTGATTTTTCTTGATATTTTATAAAAAATTCCCGATTTTTTCATTTTGAAAATTCCTGATATTTTCCTGATTTTTCTAGACTCCTGGCACGGGAGGCAAAAATCAATAAGACTTTCTCCGCTGAGGAGATTCGCGTAGGTAAAATTCCTGATAAAACGTCCGATTTTTCCGATTTTCCTGATTTTTTCTTTACCTGTCAGAATTCCTGATATTTTCCGGTTTTTCCTGATGCTAGACACCCTGTTTAATGAAGAGTTCATTTTTGAGGAAAGCTATGCATATTTTTCCTTGAAATCCAGGAACTTCAGATGAAACTGAACGATATTATCTGAAAAATTGGAAGAGAAATAATCATAAGTTTATCGGGAAATTCGTGTTTTATCAATCGAAATTTGGCAACGCCTGGAGGTTTATAGGGCGTTTTTCCTTAGCACGGTAACACTGGTCTCAACGGAAGTATGAGTGGCATAGAAATGCAAGTATTTCGCTATTACAGCTGTATTTACAGCTTTTGCTGTATTTCGGTATTACAGCTTCCGTCCGCAGTCTTATTGCTATGAAGCTATGAATATTTTGCCTAGAAATTTTCGGGGATTTAAGGTGAAATTGCGAACAAAATTATCTGAAAAATTGGAGGAAAAATATTTACAAATTTTCCCGGAAATTCGTGATTTGCCGAAAGAAATTTGGCAACGCCTGACGGTTGATAAGACGTTTTTCCTTAGCACAGCAAGATTATGAAGGAATATTTTTTGTTTTCCTTTGCTTTGCTTTCCGGTCAGAACAACTCAACTCTAGTCGAACAGACGCGGGGTTCGTATCAAGATGCGCAATGTTTTAGATACAAATATTTTAACTCCAGTGTGGGCGGTGAAGAGCCACACGAAAGTGAAGGCGCTTTCGACAGGTGAAGGGAAGTGAAAGGAATATTTTTCGTTTTCTACTGCTTTGCTTTTCGGTCTAATTACCTCGACTCTAGTCGAACAGACGCGAGGTTTGTATCAAGATGCGGAATGTTTTTGATACAAATATTTTAACTCCGATGTGGGCGAGGAGGTATCACACAAAAGTGAAGGCGCTTTCGACAGGTGAAAACAGTTTGCCGCAACGCATATCTCCTAAAGATATCACACGAGGTCGTATTTTTTCGTCACTTCTTTGAAGACTTAAATCAGAATCAGCCACGAAACGAAGCAATTAACAGATGACATTTCGATGGCCTAGGAACAATACCACTTAACTGACCATTTTGGCGAAAAAGAGTCAGCGAACTTGTTATCTCGTCCCATCACACACGTATTTTGGCGGATTGGCGTCGGGCCATGATGAATATTGCCGACGATGGAACGACTCCTCTGAGAAAATGTTCACCTGTGCCGAAGTTTCGTTTTTGAAGCGGGAAGCTCAAAAACCCGTAAATTTCTTACGCAGTTGTGAAGTTGTAAGTGCATTTCAGACTTTGCCGATGCGCTTATCGTGATTTTTGAGGCATTATCCATAGGAAACAACTCTTAGTTTTGCTCTAGCAAAAATTTGCAACAGGTCCATTCAGCATTTTATACGTTCTCGCACACTTTTTTTACGTTCGGAATGTTAAATCAAGTTTACTTTTTTTTCGGTATAGAAAGAATTTCAAATGCGCCGCACTTTCCCGCATCTCGTCCCACTGTGCGAACACACGCGTCCAGAAACTATCCCGCTCGACTTCGGTCGGGATTTGTGAGCTTCTGGAATGATGCATCGAGGCGCCCCGATCCGTGAAGCAAGCACACACGCCTGGAATGAGGTCTTCGGTTAATGAGGAAGTTGATCTTCGATAATCTTCGCTTGATGGACCACAACCCGGGGTAAGAATCAGAAAGTTTCCTACTCAAAATCTCATGCTGAGGATGTCGGACGAATCAAAGGTTTTCAAAACTGACTTCAAACTTTCAGGGTGTCTACTGAAACAGGCTGGCCAAAAATTAGTACTTTTACAGTACTCTTTCAGCATATCCCCGAGAAATTCAGTACCTCCTCAACGGAAAAATTCAGTACTTTTACGGTACCTTCATTTGACGAAATTCGAAAAATTTCAAAAATTTGAGTTTCTCTCTCAAATTGAGACAAAAATGGAAAGTTCCGGACCTTTTAACAGAATTTTCGCACTTTTCCAGTACTTCCGGACGTTATTCGGAAACACTTAAGTTTAAGTTTTAAAAAAACAAGAAACAAAACAACGTGTCTTTGACTTAGTCAAACTCTCACGGATTCAACTCAAACAAACCAAATTTTGTCGACAAAAAACGAAGCTTCAAGTCCAAAATAATATCTCAAGAAAACAATTTTTCACTCGCACCGTGCAATCCAATCTTAATCTGTTTCTGCAAATTCAAGAAGAGAGTTGAGAGGAAAAAAATGGAGAAAAGAAGAAGAAAGAAGAAGAAGAAGAAGAAAAACGAAAATCAGAGCACACGGCAAAAACCTGATAAAGCTTCCCCGCAACAAACACAACAGAAATATCTCCGAAGAGTAATAAAAATCGGGCCGACGACGACATAAAAATAATAACAGGCTTCAAAAAATGAACGGTGGACGGGTAAGAGGGGAGACTTACCGAACTAGATTAATCCTTTGTTACCGTTCGGCTCATCCGGCTGCCAATTATTTCATCCTGCAACACAGAGAGAAATAAAATATGTTAATAATCCGATTCCGCATATTCTGCATCCGCGAGCGAAGACACAAAGGGAAATAAACGCTGATTGCTGAAGGCTTCGGCGGAAAGGCATAATGGGCGGAAGACAACAAAGGGGGGAGGCTTTGAAGCTTTGATCGAACCAATAAGTCTGGATGCAAAGAAAGTCTACACTTGCATTACGCTGTTGTACTAGGGTGAAACAACGTATACACGTCATAAAACAGGGTTGCCACAGAATTTCGACGGTTAAATTCCCTGACATTTCCTGGATTGGAGATGTTGCCTGTGTAAGGAATTTGCGATTTGACTATTGATTCTCATGTAAAAATTCGCGGAAAACACGATGGTGCCACTGGTTTTCTCTGAAATCAACTCCCAAGCTCACAAAAAGCTCTCAAGTTGAGACCAAAATGGAGGGGATATCCCACGCTATCCTGAGAGTCCACCTATACATTAAGACAAACTTTCTATGCAAAGATATGGAGCAAATACATTGACAGGGCTGTCACGTTATTTGGGGACTCCACAACTGAAAACACGGCAGCCCTGTCAATGCATTTACTCCCTACCTTTGCATGGAGAGTTTGTTTTGGTGTAGACGTGGACTCTCAGGGTAGGGTGGGATATCCCCTCCATTTTGGCCTCACTTTGAGAGCTTTTTTTGAGCTTGGGAGATGATTTCAGAGAAAACCAGTGGCACCAAATAGTTCCAATTCCTTCAAGAATGTACCTGGGAACGTTTTGTCTAAAATTTGTCTGATTTTCGCAAGAGATCAGGAGAAAAATCGGTGAAATTTTCAACTAGAAATACCCAAGATTCACCCGGTAAAAATGTAATCTGTGAGGGTAAAATAGGCAACATTGAAATGTAGTTACGTTCTTTCGTAAAGGAAACGACGAAATGTGGCCTCGTTAAAACCTTATGATGAGGCAATGCTCCACACAAAATTTTAGCTTAGGTAAAAAGCTCGTTTTGACAATATAGCGCTGTCGAGTTTGCAGTTTCCAGGATCCAGGATGGCGTAACTTTTCTGACAGAAGAACTCTATGAATGGCATCCATTACTATTCTGATGAGTCGATATGTCACCGAAAGAAATTTGGCAACATTCGAATTTTCATACGACATTCTTCCTTAACGCGGCAAAATGCTCCGTTGGACTGACGGGGGAAAAACTCAACCGTCAAGCGCTCCGAAGTGAATCTTGTTTCATTGGCAGTTTGCATAATTTTTATGTCTCAATGAATACATGCATCTGCAACGCATCTCTCCTTTTGGTGGAACATGTGTGCGTACGGGACAACTTAGGGCAGAGAAAAGTTCAGACGGCTTCATCTTTCTGAAAGTTATGACAGCTTTACGAAACAAGAAACAGGGATTTCCTCCAAAGACGCATCGAGTGGTAGGATTTTGCGAAAAGGAGTCACTCATGCTGGCTCATCTATAAAATCACAGATCTGCGTGGAGAAGATAATGTCACATTCGTTGTGAAAAAAATGATTCAGACAAGAACATCTCTCCACAGGGCCGGATTTTTCTACTTGCCGCCTGTATTTTGCCGCCCCCTTTTCATTCGTCTCGAAACATCAATAAAACCCATCAAGTGAACGTGCCTGCGGGGGTGGGATGCATCAGACGCGTCTACTCGTGTTGAACACATTTTTTGCGAAAGCCCTGTCAACACTACCAGCAAAAGTTCACGGAACTTTGCGCGAAAGTCAAGTTTCGTAAACCTATCTCTAATGGACAAGGCCTTCCATTTATAAGAAATGAACGAAAAAAGTATGAAAGAACAAACACAAAATTTGGTTTAATGATATTAATTTCTGCCGCCGCGCCGCGCCGACCGCTCCGTGTTTGGCGCAATGCATGAAGTATTCATGCATTCTTGTAGGCACTATCCGTTTCACGCTGACCACAGTAACCGCACTGTTTGATGCAATGCGTGAAGTATTCGTGCAGCCTTGTAGGCGCTAATATGTGTTACATGCAGATTGCCGCGCCGAGGGCTTCTCCTTTTCATCTCAAGTCCTCGTCATCATTGCTCTCTGCGCCGCGCTGTTCCGGGCTAAATTGAGTGTTTGGTTTCTCTTTTAACTCGACTAATTAGAAGTGCTCTCTTGTATCACTGAAAGACGACAAAATTAGAAACTACTATACTCTCAGGAGTCTCAGGAGATTTTGTAGCCTTTTCTCGTCTGTAATTTTTTTTTCTAAATCCGATTTTTTTTATACCTACATTTAAAAAAATTGCAAAATTTGCCGGACCCGAATTCCGAGATTCCTGTGCGGCGCCGGGTCCTTTTTTCGATACATAATCGATCGTTTGCGATACACGGGGACCCGGCCATATTCCACACCGCCATTTTGGATCGAATGTGTATCGAAAAAGTGACCCCGCACACCGGGCTCGGAACTCGCATCGTCGAGCAGAACATGGCGCCAGCTCTCCCACTTACATTACGACTCTATGTCCTCTATGGGCCAACCATAGAGTGCATAGAGTCGTAATATAAGTGGGAGAGCTTAGCGCCACTTTTAAGCATTTTCCAGGTCCCTAATTCCGGGACTCCTGTGTGACGCCGGGTCCCTTTTTCGATACATAATCGATTGCTTGCGACACACGGGGACCCGGCCATCCGATGTAAACAAAGAAGATAGGCATTACCACGTATTCCACACCGCCATTTTGGATCGAACATGTATCGAAAAAGCGACCCGAGCTCGGCGCACACCGGGCAGAGCATGGCGCCAGCTCTTCCATTTACATTACGACTCTATGCACTCTATGGGCCAACCTACCCGGCATTCACTTTCTTTCAAGTAAAAAAAACGAAGAAAACTGGCAACGAAGCCGGGACCATCGACATCGGCGGGGTGAAGGGACTCGAGACCGCGAAGACACGGAAACCCGGCGGTTTCGGAATTCACTCCGGTCGCAGGGTGCGGAGTCTGCGGCGATTCCTCCTGCAGGTGCCAAAAGCTGTAAAAATAACCGTCTGCCTGCACTATTTTTGCGGGGCAGCGTGACTGCGTTGTGACGAGAAGCCACGCAATTTCGGCGACCCCGCGACACGCTGCGATGCGTCCGCAAGTCGCATTACTCTCACATCCAATTTCAGTCCCTTTCGACTTGCATCGCGTAGCGCCACATACAGGGTGCCCTTTTGGTCCGAGACCATCCCAAATATAGCTTCTAGTAGAGTCCCTTTATACTGAGAGTGAAGACCAGTGTTCGAAACTCACAGGCGCCGACGCGCCAAATGCTCCTAAAAAATCGGTCATGGCGCCAAAAAAAATGAAGGCTCTGCGCCAACGTGGCCCCTAAAAATCTGGATTTTCATAGAAAGTCACATAAAGAAAGAAAACCGAATCTATTTGAATTAAAAAAACTCAGAATTTTCAGCACTACAAGTGAAAGCTTTTTCTGTCCTTAATGCACGATTTCATTCTTAGTGCTTTTGTCTTCCCCAAGTTACAGCTACTTACTGGTTCTATTCCGAAAACATCTTGCATCTAACTTTCCACTAAATGCGCCGTAATATAAAGGCAAATAGTCAATTTGGCCCCTAAAAAATCTTCAATGGCGCCTAAAAATCGGGCTTGATGCGCCACATGGCTCCTAAAACTCAAAGGTGAGTTTCGAACACTGTCCGAGACCATCCTTAATATAGCTTCTAGTAGAGTCCCTTTATACTGAGAGTAAAGACAAGGCGAATCCATTTCTGATTGCAGGGTGTCCGAAGTCCATAATAAAACAGGCTGGCAAAAATCAGTACTTTTACAGCACTTTTTCAGTACATTCCCAAGAAATTCAGTACCGTCTCAACAGAAATATTCAGTGCTTTTTCAGTACCTCCAATTGACGAAATTCGGAAAAAATTTGAATTTCCCGCTCAAATTGCGACAAAAATGACAAAAAAAATGAAAAAAAAAATTCCAGACCTTCTTGCAAAATTTCCGCACTTTTTCAGTACTTCCGGACCGCCCTTGAAAAATCATTACTATTTCCCGACTTTCCGGAAATACCGGACTTGTAGTCACCCTGCAAGTTAGGCAACAACGCAAACTTTCAACTGTCCGCGACTTCCATTTCGGACTCGGCGGTGGATGGATCACCTCAATGCATCCTGGTGACGACCGTAGGGGAGGGGAGAAGGGGGAGGGGAGAAGGGGGAGGGGGTAAGGGTCGTGGAAAAACGAGCGGCTAGTGCACTTACTCCGGCACTTGCAGTTACTTCAAAAGCACACGCACGGGGAATATTAAACTTCCTCAAAGGGAGTCGACGATTCTCTTACATGCACCGACGCAGTTATTTAATTTGCACTCGCCTTTATGAGTGTGCCACTTTGTATTTATGCTTTACGCCCCACTTCGAGCCAGACTAGCGGGTTTGATATGCGTGTTCATGAGGTGAGTAATTCATTACGGCAAGGGTATACTATCTAGGGTACCTGTATAGCAAGAGTATGGACAGATCGCTTCATGGAAGGCCCAGAAGTGCAGCCATCCCTATAATCAACTTCTACAACACAAAATTTCACCGCCAGTCTGCAGATTCTAATTCTAACCAAGATGGCCAAGAATGTACAGAAATGAGCGTTCTACCGCAAAAATGAGGAAATTTATGCAAAAACTGAGTCAAATACGTTCTTTATAAATACGTTTAATTTATGCTTTTTTTTAAATACCTACGACGGTTCGTAACAATATTGAAATTCATAGGTTGGCTGCATTTCTGGGCCCTAACTTTATTCGCAGAAGCATCGGTGAAGGCCTGATGGATTTTCGGAGTTTCACATCTGTTCATACTCTCGCTATACAGGTACTCTAATACTACCGTGCTAAGAAGAAACAACGTGCGATCATTTGGGTCGCATTTTGCAAAAAGGAACCAACAACATTCTAATGCCGCTCAGAATGGGCAACTTTCTTTTGGAAATAGTTTGGAAATTGCAGTTATTCCTTCTTT